AGCGATCATCTTGATCGTCCTCTTCCGTTTGACCCCCCGTGGAGGTGCTACTTGTTCCTCATCAACCTCTACTACATCCGACTCGTCGGAAATGATTGATTTGGACTTGAAAGCCTTGGTTTTGGATCCCGATGCTCGCGGCGGGACAACCACTTCAAGTTGGTTCCTTACGAGTGACTTCCCAGGCTCCCGTCGTCGCTCCAATTTCTTTGCGGATTTTTCTTTCTCCATCCTATTTTCTTTGACAAACTTTGCGAATGCGTCATTTTGTTCTTCCAAGTCCTCTGCTTCTGCCAGTCATTCTTCTTCGCGCCTTTTCTCTTCCTCGATACGAATCTTCTCTTGCTTTTTCTCCTCAGCTACCCGTTTCTCCTCCATAATCAGTTCCTTCTCGAATCTCTTCAGCTCAGCTATTCTCTCTTCTTCTAATCGCGTCGTTTCCGCGAGTTCTCTTTCCTCTGCCAATTTCTTCTCCGCGATCCGCTTTTCTTCAGTCAACTTCTTCTCTTTAGCTACGCGTTTTTCTTCCTCGACTCTTCTTTCTTCGGCTATTCTTTTCTCTTCTGCGACCCTCCTTTCTTCGGCGAGTCGTTTCTCCTCCTCCTCCCGAGCCGCCTCTTCCTCCAACTGAGCCATCTCCGCGGCGAACTCCGCCTCTTGCCTCGCGATTTCTTCGTCACGGAGTCGTTGTCGTTCTGCCTGTGCTAAAAGCAAGCGCTCGCGACGTTGCTGAGTGGTTTCGGTGTTGTTGGGGTTGGACGACATAATGGCGAGAGGAGAGACTTATCAAAATTTTGGAGAAGGCCCTGCTTTTATAGCCTTTGCGATTTAAGGGCCGGCTCAACTTACAATTTTCACCAACCTTCTATCACCTACCTTCGCGTGCCTGGCAACTTTCTTATCACATTTTAAACTTTGATCCCCGTTACTTCTAATCATTCACATCTATTTTAGTCATATCATTACTCAGGATCTCGAGGGCTCGATCCTAACGGGGGGGCACTGTTACGACCATGCCAAGTTCAACTCCCGCGGCCCCGACGATTATCTCCCGGTATTTGACTTCCTTACCTTCTTCCGTCGCGGAGCTTATCTCCGCGATTGTTTACACTTCACGCTTATATCCCTCATACCTTAGCCGATACTTTATATATCCTTTTATATCATTCCCTTTATACTTAACCCTTTTATCTTCCTCATGTCCGACCTTACTATTCTAGGATACTATCGCTTAGCGACCCTTAGGTAGCGATTACAGTATAAAGCTACAAGAGTAGAATAGTTGGTCCTCAGTTTAAATATCGACTTTGATAGCGCACTTTGACAGTGTATTCAAATAGAGTTCATACTCAACCTCATCTTAAGTACGATCGCGTGAGTTTCTCCCGCGATCGGAATTACCTTACCCTCGCTTTCGGACATCGACGTGTCGGGGACGCTATCAATAGTAGCGTCAACGTCCGACGACCTCTCCGTAGGTTCACTTCACCCTCACTGGGATTTATCTCGGTGTTCGGTCTTTTACCCCGCGGACCTATAGTCCGCGATCCAACATATCGCCTACGACCGTGCATGATCATAACAGCAAGCCGGAAAGGAGGAGCGTGCGAGAAAGAGGGCTGCCAGGTCCAAACCTTACGGCGGAAAGGATAAAAAGAACGACATCGACGACGCGAGTACCACCATAAGCCTGCGAAACAAGATGGACATGTGGACTGTTCGCGCCAAAGGAAAGAATACTGAGGAAGATAACCGAGGAGAGGGCCGAGCAAGTCTACTTAAACGCCACCTACTCACTCACTACCTAACGTTCCCATTCACTTCCCCTTCTACAATTTTCAATTTTCGTAAAATACTTTTCAATCTTCATAATTCTTTGAATTCCGGGAGGGCGTATGCAGCGATCAGACTCCGTACAACGCTACACCACTCTGCTAGAGACTTGAAACGACTATCTGTATATACTTGTTTATTCCTTAGATAGTTGTAGGTATATAAACCTCGCCGCTAGGTACTGCGGGGGGGACGGCTCTTGGAATTAGACGACTTATACTTGTCACCCTCTGCGAGATTCTAAGGGAGTTATAACAAGCTAAGTACTTCACATCGTATCCACCGTGTCGCTTCACTAGCAAGACTTCTGAGCGCGACAGGATACAATGTGCCGGGTTTGGGTTTAAATATACTGTCATGATCATGCATGGGCCATAGGGAAAAAGGTTGGATCACAGACTATAAGTCTGCGGGGCAAAGACCAAACACCTGGATATAATCCCGGTGAGGGTTGGTCGGGCCTACGGGAGGTAGTCATATGTTGACACTACTATTAATAGCATACCCGACACACCGCTGTCCAAAAGGAACAATGAGGGTAATTCTGATTGCAGGAGAAACTTATGCAATTGTACTGAAGGTGAAATTGAGTGTGAAATCTATTTGAAATCACTATGTTGAAGGTCAACCTGGCACAGATGTTGCACACACTATTGCAGCAAAAGGCTGTCAGAGAACAGTGTGTACTCCCAGACAGTAATCCTGTTACTATGCACTGTTAATTACAAGGGTAGTGTTGTACTAGGGACCTTATAGATGCTAACAGTACTCCAACAAACACAGAAAGTGAATTTCCTTTCTTCTACAGTAGGAATAGGGGTTTGTTTGGTCCTGTATATATGCAAAATGCATGAGGCGTGAAAAAGGGTGTCCACAATAGTGTGCCTATGCTAAAAGTAAGCGTGTAACATGTAAACTGAAGGAGAAATGAAAGAAAGAAGTGCTAACTACTGTTATAAGTACTGTAACTATCTAATAACTGTTGTAGCACTACAATGAATGATTGGGGAGTGTTCTAACACTACCATTGACGATTAGAGAGTGTTTTAGCACTAAACTTAACACACTACACTATCAAAGTGCACTATCAAAGTCAATATTTAAACTGCAGACCAATTATTCTACTGGAGAATAAAAGGGGTAAGTACAAAGGAAAGGATATAAAAGGATAAATAATGAATTGGTTAAATGTGAGGGATATAAAAGTAAAGTGTGAAAGCTCGTGGAGTTTATGTCAAATACCAAGAAACAATCATTAGGACTGAAATGGTTGAACTTGGCATGGTTATAACACAATGGGTACATGAGGAGATTGTTAAGGCCATGCAACCAGAAAGGATTACAATTGAGGTTCTGGAGGCTCCAGACAAAGTTCCGAGTGTGAAAATGGTGGCTGTGACACAAGGATGTACTCGAAAGGGCTACACAGTCCTCAGAAGTGAGATGGGACTTCAGCGAAGCTTTCAGCAATGCTCCCTACACGCTATCTGGGTGTCCCTGCAAAGTGCGAAGAAAAAGGAAGTTCTGGAATGTCAGACAGAACCAATCAATTGATCTGGACGTGACGAAGCGTAGATGATTGGATGATCAATTGATCAATCAATCAATCAAATGATTAGAATATCAATATGGTTATTGATAGATTCAGAAATCGAACCAGAAGGCATGGTGTAGCTTGGCATGTATATAACAGAGATAGAATTGTAAGTAGACAATGTTTTAGAGTACAGTTGCGGGAACCAGGCAGCAGCCGAGTCAGGTTCCCACTTTAAAAATTCTGACAGAGCTTGGAGATTTGGTCTGCCAATGCTTTCTGGTTGTCTGTTAATTGCTGTAGAATCAAGGAAAAGTCCTGGAGTGGAGTGGGTGTGGCAGCAATGGAAGTACTGGGTTCAGCAATGATGGAGGTGGCGGCAGCAGTACAGACCATACTGTTAAGTTTAGTGATAGAACACTCTCTAATCATCAATAGTAGTGTTAGAACACTGCCCAATCATTCATTGTAGTGCTACAACACTTATTAGATAGATACAGTACTTATGACAGTAGTTAGCACTTCTTTCTTTCATTTCCCCTTCAGTTTACATGTTACACACTTACTTTTAGCATAGGCGCACAATTGTGGACACCCTTTTTCATGCCTCATGTGTTTTGCATACATACATTGTCGAGAGAAGAGAGCCGTCGGTTGCTTCGGCCACGGCTGTTAGTTCCGTGGCTGGTCCACACTTCAATAGATACAGCCTCTTTCATATTTGATATTCGACCTATTTTATATACAGCCTAGATAACATGAATCAAGGACTTTTTCCCGCCCTTTCTTCCCTGCACTCACTGTGGACTTTGGATCCAGCGAAGAATCCGCCATCCAGACGACCCTTTTCCCGGCCGTCTCCGAAATCATTCCGGCCTCGAATTCAACATACATGACCAAACAAACCCCTATTTCTACTATAGAAAGAAGGAATCAAATCAATATTCACTTTCTGTGTGTGTTGGAGTACTGTTAGCATCTACAAGGTCCCTAGTACAACACTACCCTTGTAATTAACAGTGCATAGCAACAGCATTACTGTCTGGGAGTACACACTATTCTCTGACAGCCTTTTGCTGCAATAGTGTGTGCAACATCAACTGTGCCAGGTTGACCTTCAACAGTTGCATGACCTTAACAGTTTACTCACATTGTGTCACTGAATCCAGCCAAGGAAGCTCATTTTCTCACACTTGAAACATCTGACCAGCACATCCACAACACAGTGGTGGTGAGCACCACCTGTATGGCCCAGTCATTATCAAGCTTTACAAGCACCCACTCCACTTCAAAGCCTTATTGGAGCCTATGGATGAGTCCGATGCCCATAAGCTTGATAGTATTCTAGCATCTTTTAACCATCAAACCAAACCCACTTGGAGGAGAGTCATAACATGGATAGGTTCTCTCATGATTGATTTCTTTTTCTAAAAAAGTAGATTTATTGCTCAATATCATGTCATAGAATGCTTCTATACACAAAACAAAGCTATTTATGCAATTTGGCCCCTTCTCTTGGGCCATACTCCATAACCCATATGACCAAGGGGTATGGGTATGGGTTAAGAGGGAGTCAACTATTGACAATCATTTGTTATTAGCAATAGAACATGACGTTGGAAATAACGATAACTCCGATATGGTGTAGTGGCTAACATTATCGCCTCTCAACAACAAACGATGACGCGATAGCCCGGGGTTCGATTCCCCGTGTCGGAATTGGAATACATATTTTTTGAATAACTCGAACAATAAAGTCAATAAAGATCGGATGCAATACTGTGTGGTGTGGCACATGTTATACCTTCTCCTTCTCAACTTCTGTAATATCATATAATAACATATAAACTCGTCGTTGCAACTTTTCTAAATATCTCGCTACAACTCCAACTGCCATGAACATTCTCAAATCCAACCTACTCCTCCTCCTCCTTCTCCTCCTTTCCCCAATCTCCTGTTCAATCCTACACTCCTCTGCAGATCTAGCTGATTCTTACGATTTCATCATTGTCGGAGGTATTCCCCTTCCCATATAACCCTTCCCCCACTCACTCACACTTTTTCCGCCCAGCCGGTCCAGGTGGAAGCGCACTCTCCAATCGACTCTCCGAAAACCCCTCCTTTTCCGTTCTTCTCATTGAAGCAGGTGGAGCGTGAGTCCCTCTGCCCCTTCTCCCTTCCCCCTCCTAACGCGCCCACTCTTGCCAGTAACAACGACAGTCTAACAATCAACGTCCCACTCCTATGCACCAAACTAACCCCCAACACCCAATGGGATTGGAATTACACCACCACCCCTCAAAATCATCTCAACAATCGTGTATTGCCGTTTCCCAGAGGTATAGGTTTAGGTGGGACTAGTGCTGTTAGTACGTACCTCCCCTCCTCCTCCCTACAAAATTGAAGTTCAACTGGCATCCAGACTGCCTCGTATACACCCGGGGATCGAAACAAAATATCGATAAATGGGCTGAACTCACCAACGATTCCAGTTGGGGTTGGGATTCCATGCTTCCCTATTTCAAAAAGGTATTGTCCCCTTCTCCCCTCCCCCCCTCCCAATTAACCCTCCCTAGAGTGAAAAATTCAACTTCCCCGTCGACAAACACAACATCACCAACCAATTCAACCCTCTCTTCCACGGATTCGACGGGTACATCGGTGTCAGCGTCCCAGGTGCCAGTCGCTCTATCGATTCCCGAATCATCAACACCACCCAACTTCTCCCTTCCCAATTCCCCTTCACCGTCGACATGAACACCGGTGACCAGCTTGGTGTAGGTTGGGTTCAAGCTCTCATCGACAAAGGCGTTCGCTCGAGCTCTGTCGCTTACCTCTCTCCTTCCGTACTCGCTAGACCCAACCTCGATGTTCTCCTACAAACCCAAGTTTCCAGAGTTCTTCCCTCTTCCTCTGGGAATACATTCACCACTGTTGAATTTTCCAATCATAATAATTCCTTACAAACCCTCACCGCATCCAAAGAACTCATACTTTCCGCAGGCTCAATCGGTACTCCCTCTATCCTTCTACACTCTGGAATCGGCAACGCCACGACCTTGTCCTCCCTCGGCATCCCTCCCCTCCTCAACCTCCCCTCCGTAGGTCAAAACCTCACTGACCACATCGGCGTCTCCACCACCTACCTCGTCAACTCTACTCACACCTACGACACCGTCCTCCGCAACACCTCCCTATCCACTCACCTTCTCCACCAATGGCTAACCACAAAAACCGGTATCAACGTCGATACTTCCGAGAACCACCTCGCTTTTCTTCGACTTCCCTCCAACTCTCCCGTTCTCAGTTCATTCGGAGACCCGGCGGCAGGGAACGAGACTGCACATTTTGAATTCCTATTCCAAAATGGACTGAGTCAATTAACACCTTCAGGCAACTACCTCAACATCCCAATCGGTAACGTCTCTCCAAAATCCAGTGGATCAGTAACCATCAACTCTACCAACCCTTTCTCTTCTCCGCTTATCAATCCCAACCTCCTCTCTTCGCCAGTCGACATCCACATCCTCCGCCACGCCATCCTTACCTCTCGTGAATTCATAAACTCCCCTGCTTGGTCACGATACATTCTCCAAGACCTTACCAACGCCAGCTCCGTTTCCGAACTGGACGAATTCATACGCGCGAACGCTGTGAGCTTTTTTCATCCAGTCTCTACAGCTTCCATGTCGCCGTATGGAGTGACTGAGTGGGGAGTGGTGGATCCGGATTTGAGAGTGAAAGGAGCGAAAGGGTTGAGGATTGTTGATGCTAGTGTTGCGGTATGTTCAAACTTGATCTCTGAACATCAGTCACTGACAAGAACAACAGCCTAGTTTACCTGCAGCACATACATCAGCAGCTGTATACGCTATCGCTGAACACGCAGCTGATATCATTAAATCTGCATATCATACAAAATAAGGCATATTCTGCGGAAAAACATCAGTTCTCATCCTATCCCACAATCAAATCACTCACCATTCTCCTCGACTGTAACCCTTTATCTCTCTCATTCTCTTCTGCAGGACCATAAACTTGAAACGTACGTTGACCAGAGCCATGTACCGTCATTACCGACGCCATATTTCCACATCTATAACAATAATTCGGTGCACTCCATACTGTAACCAATTGTTCTCCAAACATATACTTGTAACCTTCCTGAACAAGTTGATGAGCTCGAGTGATGAGCTCAAGAGCGTTGATGTGATTAAACTGCTGAATGTTAGACGCAATCACCAGTACAACAAGGCCACACCCACCTCCTTCGTAACAACCCCGCCAAACAACCACCCAGCACCTCTCGGACTGACCGCCCAATTATCCACCAAATCCTCCGGGTCACTCCACATCAAATCACAAAACGGACCTTCATGAGGAACCTCCTGTGCTCTACTCAAGACTCTAATCTGATCCAACGTCCTAATATCCGGACTTAACCCACCATGAACACACACCGTCGTCCCATCCACAATCGCTGCCAGATTCAAATAATCAAAAACACTACAACACGCTTTCCATACCGTCGCTGAGCCGTATTTCTGTTGACATTCATCGTAGAATCCGTAAACTTGAGTGATTTGTCTTGATTCGTGGTTGCCTCGGAGTAATGTCACCTTGTCTGGCCAACTCGCTTTCAACACCAACAACATCGACAACGTCTCCAATGAATAATGTCCTCTATCAACAAAATCACCCTTCACGCACGCATACAATATCAGCCAACGTCCAAGTCCCAATTAACCACTCACCATAAAAATATAACTAGTCCCTGGAACCTCACCACCTTTCCTCAACAACTCCAACAAATCCCAAAACTGACCATGGATATCACCACAGATGGTGACCGGACTAGCGACTGGTCTAATCGTTGACTCTTCCATCAACAACGCTCTGACTATATCGCAGAGAGATTTCATTGATTGTTCTGGAAGATGTTCGCAACGTCGGAGTCGTTCAATCCATTCATCAGGTTTAAACATTGTGATAAATTAGACGCTCATGACAAATAACCTTTTCTTTTTTTTTCCTCCTCCTACTTACCACCAATGCCTCTCATACGACCCACCCGTTTCGGTAGACCACCCCAAATCCGCAAACCTCTTTCTTTCGACAGCCGTCGTAAACTACCTCGTCCACCAACAAACCTCCAAATTCGAGAAATATCTCCTTGTCGTCTCTCAGACCACTACCACTCTACTCTCTCCGATAACCTCATGTACATGTCCTATTCTCATAAAACCAACCCAATACCCTCTCACCAACGAGAAATTCGTCTCCGCTGGGACCCTTCCAACCCTTACTCCAAATACCGCAAAAACCCTCCAGTAGGCGGTTCCCAATGGTCTAAAATTCCTTCTCCCCCCATAACCCCATCCACCATCCCAAAACTCCTCTCTATCCAACTCCACATCATGTCCAAAGACGCCTTAATCTCGCGCTCTAATCTCCTAGGCGTAATCGCCGCCCTTCGTGCTCTGTCCGGTGAATCCTCCTCTCTCTCCTCCAAATCCATCAACGGCGTCGAAATCATCCGCGGTAAAAAACAAGTCGGTGGTTGGATTCGTCAAGGTATGCCTGCAGGTGCCAAAGTCACTCTTAAAGGTCCCCCCATGTACGACCTTATATCTACCCTCTCCGAATTCGTCTTACCTCGTCTTCGTGATTTCAACGGGTTCCCTATCCCTCCTACCACCTCTTCACATACTTCCTACCTCCCTTCCTCTGCCAACGCCGTTAAACCCAGCGATGTCACTGGCGTTGTCAGCTTTGGCTTACCTCCCGCTGCTATGGCGTTTTGGCCACAGATTGAGGTCAATCAGGATGCATACCCCAAGATGTATGGCATGCATGTCCATTTTATCACTGATGCTGTCGGCCTCGGTGCTCAGGAGAGAGCTAGGGCCTTGGTTAGTGGTTTTCAAATTCCATTTGTTAGAATGTCCTAAGTAGCCATACAATTCTTTTTAATCTCTACTGCGTTTGAGCTCCATATCCTCTAATACCATCCGCAAACGACCATTGTGTATCCACACTTCTTGACTCTGAAATAGCAACCCCTTCACTAGTTATCTTTGCTATTTGATACTAAACAACCATCAGTCTCCTCCAACATTAATTCAAAAACAAACAAACCTTGTTCAAACTTCTCGCATCACGATAAAACAAGACCTTCATGCTCTGTTCAAGAATCTTCACAGCCTCTTCCTCCGTGATAATATCCTCGTTGCCTTCTACAGCCTTACGAAGAAGTGGCTGCGCAATGTAAGATCCATACCCAGTCGCAAGCGTCGATGCAGAGTAAGTCGTCCCCAACAGATCAACATACGATAGGAATCTATCAAAATTCAAAACAAAATTAAATAAAATCACAAAACCCCACATACCTCTTCCCATCCTTAACCCCTCCAACAATCAACGAATTCCACAACGGATCCATCTTCGACCTCCTCGCATACATCACTTGTGAAAGATACTCATGGATCTCCCCAGGTCCAAGCGCATGTCCATCCCCATCCCCCTCCGTAAACTCCTCAACCATCAAATTATCAAGCAACGCTTGAATATACTGAAAGTCAGACATATCGCCTCCAGCACCTATAATGGTGTTGTTCCCGACAGGATGGAGACGTTGGATGTCTTTGAACCTAGCAAGAGAACCGTACGATGCTTTGAGAAAAAGACAAAAACCCCGTTAATTAATATCAATCTCCCAC